GGAACTTGGATCAGTATTCTTCCTAACCTGTCTGCTCTTCTCTTTAGAGAGCTCGATGAGGACGTCACCGCAGATCTACCTGACCAGGTAAGGGCCCCAGTAAAAAGAATGTATAATTTTTTTAGCATATAGACGAATAATCAGTATACAAAACCCATCAGATCCTGTCCCCAAATAGCTTACACTCTGTCCCCACCACACCCACTATTGTCTCATATTTATATCGCTGACATATTCCACAGCACTGTACAGAGGACAGTAGAGGAACTTGCAGTCTAATGTCCCGACACAGTCACAACAAAGTCCAAATCCCATTCGCACTGCCACGGTCTCAAAACCACAAGGTATATGTGGTGCCCAGGTGACCACACGGATGGCGCCGTGCAAAACACTAGAAGTAAATAAAAGTAATTCACCGGCAGACACTTGAAGGGTTTTTAAAGTATTGATATGTTTATTCAATACCCAATGTCACATAATGTCATACGGTGCTAAGTATGACAGTATGTGACATTGGGTATTGAATAAACATATCAATACTTTAAAAACCCTTCAAGTGTGTGCCGGTGAATTACCTTTTATTTACCATCACAGTCGCACACACTTATTATGATGATGATATAAATTTATACAGCTCTGACATATACTGCAGTGAGCCAGTCACATCAGTCACTGCTCACATGACTCTCTGTGTACAAAGCTGAACGCAGTGCAGTGAGGAGAAGTCTGATGGTGACTTCTCTGCACTGGGGACACTCCACTCCACACCACTGATATGTGGTCACATGACACTGCATCCACAGTAAATGGACTGGAACTAATCATTCCCACCTGCACCAGAGGAGCTTACACTCTAATGTTCCACCACAGTTTCACACTACTATTACTATACCATTTTCCATGTGTCCCATATGTTACTTCAAGTTAACACCGTCTGTAAGTATACTTCTTGCTGCAGTGACAGAGGTGGACAGACAGAGGGCAGCAGAGCTCAATGTCTGTACACTGGGGGGGACTATGGAGGTGGCTTCACATGTGATGCATCTTGTGGCTTTGTGTCTTCTCAGGAGGAGATCTCAGAAGATGACGTGGATGATTCCTTCAAGGCTATGTTTCGGCAGCTGGCAGGAGATGTGAGTTGATTGGCGGTGATTGTCTGGTAGATGAGATATGTGATGGGTTTATAGCCAACCTAAGTTTCTGTAACTATAACATGTTCTGTCTTGTTTTTCTGCTAAGGATATGGAGATCAGCGTCTTTGAGCTGAAGACCATACTCAACAGAGTGGTGTCCAGACGTAAGTAGAAGATGGGCTCCTGGGTGTCAAATTGGGTCAGCTGTCTGGGGATATGGTATGGTAGGGCGGGAGTCTGGGGATATGGTATGGTGGGTCAGGAGTCTGGGGATACGGTATGGTGGGTCAGGAGTCTGGGGATACGGTACGGTGGGTCAGGAGTCTGGGGATACGGTACGGTGGGTCAGGTGTCTGGGGATAGGGTACAGTAAGTCAGGTGACCAGAAATCTAGTACGGTGATGGGGTATTGGGAGTTGGGCATCCGGGGAATATGGTGAAATGAGATAATTGGCGGCCTCTTCACACTTCTTGTCTCTCCTCCTCAGACAAAGACCTGAAAACTGACGGCTTTAGCACGGAGTCCTGCCGCCAGATGGTCAACCTGATGGATGTATCCTTCTTCCACAGACTATGCCATTGCAGTCATTGGCTGATTCTTGCTTTCGGGTCCCTCACAACTTTAGTGTTAGAAACTTGCAACCACCATTACCTGTATACGTCGTGTGTTAGGGTCCCTTTAAGGTTTGTGTATTAGTTGCAGCAGATCCTTAACTCTTTCCTCAGAAAGACGGTAGCGGAAAACTTGGCGTCGTGGAGTTTCAGATCCTGTGGAACAAGGTCCGCAATTGGCTGGTAAGAGCTGCTAGTTGTATTTTTCTATTGTATATTATTTCATAATCCGTATAAAGAATACACTACGGGGGTCTATTTATAAACAATATGTCGGTCGCCCTACAAATATCTATATCTGTGGGAATACATGCAAAACAGACGTTCTTTAATGTCGAATGTTATTATATGTCATGTAGTATTGCATTATGGTCACCAGATGGCGCTAAAGGAGCATAGGAAAGCAGTATTTATATTCCATGCTCCTCAGCGCCATCTAGTGGCCATAATGCAATACTACATAGTTACATAGTTACATAGTAAGTTTTTAAATACTAAAAAAGGGTCTAAAAAGGAAGGAAGGAAGCAGAGACAACAAGTATACCAAAAATCATGACATATAATAACATTCAGAATTACATTCGACATAATTACAATATTTTCGTCATCTTTCGGTTCAGATTCTGGTGTCGCACAGATCCAGACCTTTGGTTGGCTGTAGATAAAGTACAATATTAAAGTTCTGGATACTTTTGACTATAATAAGATATTTTGCACTCCATTTGTCATTTTATTATTCTATACAGCAGTTTATATATGTCATCAATTAAAGTTGTAATTAATGGAATTTTGTCTGTCTGATCTTTTTTCCTGTAGACTGTCTTCCGGGAGCATGATATGGATAAATCCGGGACCATGAGTTCCTACGAGTTGCGTATCGCCCTGGAAAGCGCAGGTGAGCGTTGACTTGGTCTCCTTTGCAGAGTGTATGAGGTCTGGCTGCAATGTTCCATACACGCTGGCTGTGCCGATTTATGACTTGTAGGAAACCTTTCATAGACCCGTATACTGTCTTCCTGTGTCCGTATTGATGTCTCTGTCTCTCTGCAGGGTACAAGCTGAATAATAAGATCATGCAGGTGCTGGTGGCCCGTTATGCTGACAACGACCTCGGAGTCGACTTTGACAATTTTGTGTGCTGTTTGCTGAAGCTGGAGGCCATGTTCCGTAAGTCTGAGTGTGCCGTTATTGTGCCGCCATTCTCCGATAATCATGTAATACCCTTCATACACCCCAAATGCTGGGCAAGTCTAGAATTATATCTGCTGGCTCCTATCCTCACGTAATACCCCCCCCCCATCACCACCAGGAGCCAACATTCTATTTGATATGCTTTACAGAAACCAAAAAGGATTCTAGGGCTCCATCAGAGGAGTGCGGGGACCTCAACAAGCTCCCATCATCATGTAATACCCATGATCTCCACCAGGGGCCAGTATTCTATTTGATATGCTGTAGAGCAGTAGTTGTCAACTTACTGGGTATAGGGGGCCTCAGCTGTGGCCCCTGACATCCACAAAGGGCCACACTTAATGTTTGTTTGTTCAGCAGGAGATGGTCAGGGACCAGAGGATATGCTATAGGTGTGGTTTTGAGAATGCAGATGAGAAAGACTGGGAACATGTTTACAAGAGCCTGGTGGAGATTACTGCTCTTGCAGTCCTTTTGGAATTAATTTCCGCTCCTTCTGACTGCCGGGGGGTCAGGAGAAGTACCAAAGGGCCACAGTTTGGGCACGAGGGCTGTGGAAGTGACAAAAAGGATACAAGGGGTCCATGAGAGAAATGCTGGGAACCTACACAGAGTAACACCTGACCATGCGAGACCCTCGGTAGAGAGAGGACAGACGCTGTGGGTTTAGGACGGAATTTGCTTGTGCTGGTTATCGTGTTATAAGTGATCTCGGTAGTGCTACCGATGAGTGTGCAGATGAAGCCAGCAGGTTCCCAGTGAGGGCAGCACAGAACGCGTATGATGAGTGGGAAAAGGAGCTTTTCACTGTTATGTCTGCCGGTGCCCCTCACTTTATCCAAGCTGTAGCCCGTGTCTCCTGATCTATAACCATGTACCGTGTTTCCCCGAAAATAAGACACTGTCTTATATTTTTTTTGGCTAAAAAAAAACACACTATGTCTTATTTTCGGGGAAGGTCTTAATTTTTTTAATGTATAACAATCCAAAGTTAATGCAAATCCAAATGAAATAATCCAAAATGGCAAAGTTAAGAATAGGGTGATCAGGGGTGCCGTACCTTTCCAAGAGCAATTTGGTAACCAGAAAAAGCGAAGCGCACTTTCACTATGGACTCCTCACAGGCGGAGTGCATTTGGTATGACTCCGCCTGTGACAGGAGGCGGAGCTATAGAGGAGGCATCGGCTTATGCGGCTCTGCTCCCTCCGCTGCTGCCTCGCTTCCTCTAGCGCTGGCTTCATTGGCACCGCTGATTCCCTCCCGCGGCTCTTCAAGTTTCCCCTTTATGCCACCACCAGCCCTGGCAATGGTCACAACAAGGTCTTATTTTCGGGGTAGGTCTTATATTTTAGCAATTCCCAAAAATAGTACTAAGTCTTATTTTCAGGGAAACAGGGTACGACCCCTGACCCTGGTGCCCAGCCCCGGTCTTTTATTGTCAGCGGTTGTAATGTAGACACTGACCTGGGTGTCAGACACCAATGAAGGACAAGTTCACACTATGAGACCTTCAGTGAACTGATAGCAGTGTGCTCAGGATTCCGGGGTCAGCGACTTGTGTGCCGCCAATTCAATCATCAAAAGAAACCCATCGCACACCTAACCGGATAATCCCCTCAAGTATCGGGTGCCGGATTTCCCACAAGGCCCGTCCTCAGGGCAGCAGCAGGGAGTAGAGGGGCAGCAGGGGTGTGGAATTCCTATCTCCCGATGCTGGGGACATGCAGTTCGGGGCACAGGGCGGGTAGTTGTTTTTCTACATTTAGCTCTGCTTTGGGCAAGCAGGGCTAAATGTACAGTGGGGAAGATGTGTCGCAACATGGCGATGTTTCAGAACCCGTTTGGTCCCTTCATCAGGCAAACAAAGTGTATTTCTGCACGTATTGCTTTGTATTCACTGTGAGTGGCCGGATTATATACAGTATATATAGTGGCCAGATTATTATGACCACCTGACGTTTGTAGGCAAATTAGCTATAATTTGGCGTTGAAGTTGCTAGAGGGCCAGACCATTATAAATAGGGAAGCAGGTTGGTTACCACGACAGTAGAAGTGATTTGTTTCTGAAGATACGGGGAAACAACGCGATTTAACAGCCTTTGAACGCGGGATGATTGTTGGCGCTCGGAGCCATGGAGCGAGTATCAGCAAAACAGCAGAATTCCTTAAATGTTCAAGAGGGGCTCATTGTTAAAGTGTTTAAAGACTGGACTGTCAGCCGAAAATCTGGGTCTGAACGTGTGAATTGTGGCCGCCAGCGACTAGTCAATGTTAGGGCAGAACGGGGGAGGGGCAAGACTGGTACAAGACAACAGAAGGGCAACAGTGCCGTGTCGGATTCCTCGCATCACCTTTCAACATCTCGTGGAGTCACCAGGCGGCCCAACGAAGTACTGATGGGGTGGTCATAATAATCTGGCCACTCAGTGTATACAAAGAATGAACCAATTGAAAATCACCAAAGCCCCTCTGACATCATCGTGACGTCACATTCCCGCCAATATTAATATAATCACCGACATCATTGCCTCTGCATATAAAGGACGCATAGACATTTGTACCTTTTGTGTGCGGTCATTGGACACGCCATATGCAGGACGCGCTGAATGATACAAAATTGGGCAAATGGCCGTTCATGATTCCCATCCTAGAAATAATGATTGCAATCACTCCATACAATGTCTGTGTACAATATGAATTGTGTGTCTGCACCTTGCAGGGTTTTTCAAGGCCATGGACGATGGAAGCGGCATAGCGGAGATGGGAATGGGAGAGGTGAGTTGGCAGCTAAACCCTTGATTGCTGGTTTGTGTCTTGCAGTGGCTGACGCTGACGATGTGCGGATAGACAGACGGATGGGCGGCCGTATTTCCTGCCCCGTCTGGGTACAGACACTCCTCCTCCTCCTCCTCCTCCTGTGTATTTGCTCTCACTAACCTCCTCTTATCACTTGGACTCTGCACACAATTGCTCTGCACATCTCCACCCGGTGGCCATGCCACATCTTCCCAGAAGCCTCTGTACATAGGACTTTCCCTGACCACTCAGGGCCAGCCAATCAGAACGTTGGATGTGGCTCTCAGGTGCCTTATAGCTCTTCCGTGCAATCATAATTGGGGGGCGGTATCGGTCCCCACTAAGCGGGATGCAGAGGCTTTGTTTTTATTGGTACCCAGAAACCTGCATAAAGGGGGGCAGAGATTCAGCACTTTCCTGGTGGAGACCACCGAGCGCCCACCGATCCCAAACATTTCACAGTGGCAGCTCATCGGGAACCCCCCCACATACACGTATCATGTATCATATTGTATGACTTTAATATATATACATCTGCCATTGTTGACTTCCTTCTAAAGGAAATGAAATGGTTGCCTGGACCTCTGGCGTCCTGACCGGTGACCAGCGCTACAGCCAGACAATTAGCATTTTTTGAAGGTTGTCACCAATGACATCCAGCATTCTCTTCTCGGTAGGGTTTCCTTTAAGGGCCATGTCACCCTCTGTGTGTCTTACATGCCGCGTATTCTAGGCACGTTTATATGCATTTCCATGTATCCCCGTGGAAGGTGAACGCACCAAAGATGCGGCAAGCAGGTTTATTTTTGTAACAACAACAAAACACAGAGGTGCGAAATGGCGCTAAGGTCCGTGAACTGTCGGTGGGAGGGTGGGGGGTCAGGGACCATTTCTCTGCTTTGGGGGGGATAGGCTTTTCCATTCTGAGTTCTGTCACCAGTTGCCTGCTCATTCTTCATGGGTGGGGGGGGGGATGGGCGCTAAGCTTCCACTCGGAAGAATTGGATTTGGCTACCCTACTCCCTCCTGGGGGGCTCCTGTTTGTTTTGGGGGTGAGTTAGCCTGTCGTATTTGGGGAGCATTGCCCCTGGGCTCTATATTTGGGGGATCAGTGAGGTGTCTCACTGTGAATGTGGACATTGCTAGACTGCATGTTAATAAATAAAAAAAAAAGACAATAAAAGGGTTGTGCGGATTTTCCTTCGGTCTCTTTATTGAAGAATCTTCATGTATCAGATATGTCATTGGCTAGAAAAGCTGCTCGTCCCCCCCAAACCCAGCGAGGTGCAGATATTGTCCCAGTGCTCTCCTCCATACGGGTCAGAAATCTGTGAACTGACACATTATACAGATCCAAAACTAATGTGATCATTTCTGAGCCGGCCAATCCCACCATTGTAATCCATAAACCTGGGCGAGCTTTCATGTTTGTGATATATGACCAAAAGTATGTGGACCCCCCCCCAATGACTGAGCTCAGGATCTCCAGTGAAGGGGACTGTCAATACTACATCATATAAAGACATTTTGGTGACGGTTCTGTTCCAGCATGACTGTCCCCTGTGCACAAAGCCAACTCCATAAAGACACGGTGTGATGGAACTTGAGTGGCCTACACATAGCTCAGACTCCGCCATACTTGAACACCTTTTGGGGTGAATTGGAGTCAGAGATCTTCTCATCCAACATCCGTACCTGATCTCACCAATGGCCACAAATCCCCTCAGACACAAAGCCTTCCCGGAAGAGTGGAGGTTGGTTTTGGAATGGGATGTTTAGGAAGCTCATAGAGGAGTGATGGTCAGTGCACAGAGCTCTGACCTCCAACCCTACTGAACGCCTTTGGGATGACTCTGCTCACCCTTTGTGGGCCCGGACTTCTTATCCAACATCAGTACCTGACCTCACAATGGGCACACATTCCCACAGACACACTCCTAAACCTTGTGGAAGCCTTCCCGTAGGAGTGGAGGAAGTTCTAGCCATAGAGGGGGCCAACTCCATATTAATGGTGATTGGTTTGGATGTCCAACAAGCTCACAGAGGTGTGATGGTCAGGTGTCCTCAGTCTTCTGGCCACATAGTTTATGTATCAGGTGCGGGAGAAACCGCCATTGGCCAAGGAAAGCCATCCCAGCTAACTGACTTTTCTTTTGACTGTGTTTAGCCAGAGACCATTTGCCAGTGTCATGGAGGGGTCATCAAACATTCCCAAATCTCCTGGTACAACCGCAAACTGAGGGGACACGTTCCCTAACACTGTTCAGAAATACAGAGAGGTTGTCCAGGAAGTAGGAAGTTGGAGTTTTCTATCCAGCACCTTGGTTGACTGACTGCAGGTACGCTACAGGAAATGGTCAGAGACTGCAGGTACGCTACAGGAAATGGTCAGAGACTGCAGGTACGCTACAGGAAATGGTCAGAGACGGCAGGAAATGGTCAGAGACTACAGGTACGCTGCAAGAAATGGTCAGAGACTGCAGGTACGCTGCAAGAAATGGTCAGAGACTGCAGGTACGCTGCAAGAAATGGTCAGAGACTGCAGGTATGCAACTAGAGATGGTCAGGGACTGCAGACCTTCTACAGATGTTCAGAAATACAGAGAGATTGTCCAGGAAGTGTGAAGTTGGAGTTTTCTATCCAGCACCCTTGGTTGACGGCAGGTACACTACAAGAAATAGTCAGAGACTGCAGGTATGCTACAAGAGATGGTCAGGGACTATAGGCATGCCAAATGAGATGGTCCAAAACTAGTTACGGGACAAGATGGGAAGAGACCGCAGGCATGCTATAAGGGATAGTCATTGACTGTAGTTATGCAACAAGAGATGGTCAGAGACTACAGGCATGATACAGGAGATGGTCAGAGACTACAGGCATGATACAGGAGATGGTCAGAGACTACAGGCATGATACAGGAGATGGTCAGAGACTACAGGCATGCTACAAAAGATGGTCAGAGACTACAGGCTTGATACAGGAGATGGTCAGAGACTACAGGCATGATACAGGAGATGGTCAGAGACTACAGGCATGCTAGAAAAGATGGTCAGAGACTGCAGATCTGCTCCAGACGTTGGAGTTTAGGGAAATGCTTCAGGAGACTGTTAAAAATTGGAGACATGTTATATGAGACTGCTAGAGATCACTGCTATTACAGCCCCTTCACACATTCACACTCCATGCAGCTTACAGATGACTTGAGCCGCATGTAATATTTCTCTTCGCGGGATCCATTATAACACATCACAGGAAAAAACAACCTAAAAATAGAAAGGGATGTACAGCCCAGAGAGAGTCAGATGTGGGAAAGGATAAAAGCGACGCAGTAACTAGCCGGTCTAAAGGATATTATCCTGCGTTGGATTGAGTAAGCTTCTAAGTAAGGAAAGCATGGACTACTGTCGGCAGGGGCCCCGAGGGCCACTCAATTAGTGGCAATGGGCCAATGCCACAGGTTGGGGACCCTAACCACTAACACTGACTTCACCCCCCTGACCTCTGTGCTTGTCAGTGATGAGTATATGGGGTCAGCATCGAATGGTAGCCGTGGCTGCGTCTCGCGGGGCCCCTGTATGTGGACTTTTCTGGAAGGACCCCGAATTCTGCTCATGTATCAAACGCCATGTTTTGTATCTGATATATTATTTATTAAACCTCTAATCTGTCCTGATGAGTTCACTGTAACAAACAAATTCCCCTGAAGGTGCCGCACACGGCTGGCATCGCACCTCTGCTCCGTACCCCGCGGTGCCGCCAGTGCGAAGACCCCGAATTATTTTGGGTGGAGCTGTGACTCCGCTCTGTTTCCACCCTTGCTAATCACGTTGTGGTGAGCAGCAGAACGTCGGGGACAACTGTTGTAATTCCTCTGAGTTTGTCATCCAGCAAAAGCCCCGAAAGGCAGCTGCCACCAACGCCACTTGTACGAGCCGCACGTCACCTGCCGGGGTCACATGACCGCGTAACAGGACACCAAAACTTTTACTAGAAAGATCTGCACGTCCGCTTCCCTCAAATTCCATCCGCGTGTCTGCGGTTCTGGGAGTTTCTTTCATCTAATAAACATAAAACAAAAGTCACCACCTGGATCCCACTCTGCTTCTGAAGGGTCAGATGATTGGCCGGCACCGAGCAAAGACAACAACTGGATCCCACTCTGCTTCTGAAGGGTCAGATGATTGGCCGGCACCGAGCAAAGACACCACCTGGATCCCACTCTGCTTCTGAAGGGTCAGATGATTGGCCGGCACCGAGCAAAGACAACAATTGGAGCATGCTGGAAGTGCCGAAATTCAATCAAGAAATGTCCAATGTATCACTAAAACCTGAAGGAGGGTGGGGAGCCGTCATCTACGAGGAAGACACGTGGTCAGAAATGAAGCGTGATTGGATCACACAAATGATTGGTGAAATCGAGAGAAGAATTCACGACTATGGCTAGTAAAAGCATTTCCACACTCACAATATGAAGAGGACTCCGGGGATCGGGACTAAACTGTTGTGTAGTCTTCCAAAAACCTCATCAGTGATGATAAAAGAAAGAAAAGCTTCAATTTGCTGAGGAGCAAAAAGATTGGAGCAATGGAGAAAGGTCATGTGGTCTGATGCATCCAGATTGACCTGTTCCAGAATGATGGGCACATCAGGGCAGGGCCGTAGCGAGGGCAAAGCGACTGAGGCTCTCGCTTCGGGCGCAGGTGCGGGGGCGCAGTCAGGGCTCAGCCAGCAGGGAGAAGGGGAGCGGCACAGCTTGCAGCTTTTCCTCTGGATCCCCGATGCCTCTGCCCATAGAGATGGGAGAGAGCAGCGGGGATCCGATTAGAAGTGAAACGCTGCACAGCCAGCGGGAGTGGAGGGGGGAGCCGCTGTCACAGCAGCATGGCCGAGTGGTGAGGAGAGAGAGAGACGCTTGGCCAGGATCTGACAGCCAGCGGCTCTCTCTCTCACCGCTCGGCCATGCTGCTGTGACAGCGGCTCCCTCCTCCGCCCCCCGCGCCGTCTTACTTCTCCTTGGATACCCGCTGCCTCTGCCCATACAGGCAGGGAAGAGCATCGGGGATCCAGAGGAAAAGCTGCAGGCTGCGCCGCCCCTCTGTGCGTGTC